TTTCAACTGTGGAGAAGCAGAAATTTCCTTTCCAAAGGGATATTTGAAGAGGAACAGAAAGGGACAGATTGAAACTTAATATTTGGGTAAGGGTAGATGGGAAGATTGAAACTCAAATAGATAAATGAAAAATTAGAGCACATACTTGGCCTGTCCAACCACCTAACCATCGGCTCCTGAATTTGTCTGAAGCTAAATAAGTTATCTGATCTTCTCCCTCTACATGACATAGAAAACAAAATAAAAATAAAAATTAATAAATAAATAAGAAATTAAGAAAACACAAGTATTGCCTAATCATAGGCGAGAAGGAGGTGCATGGAAAAGGAAATGTTTACTTACTAGCATTCCCTGAATTCCAAGCATCTGGACGAAAGTTTACTTTGTCTTGAGGCTGATTAGAAGCTATATCCACCATAGCGGCAACTGTCTGGAAGCCAAACTTGCACAATTAAATTCAGAATAAGTCCCAATTGGAATGAGATAAAAATTCCTACGTCTAGGCCGTAGTATATCTTTACCATAGTACATGAAAAAAGTGAAGCCATAGCCTTAAACTAATTGAGGGGATAAAGATATTTTTCTATATATTTCCAGTTTGATATAATAAATAAGGGTGAGCATCGAAGAGCAGAGGAGATAAATATGACTTTTACCTGTTCCATAATGATTCCATCTGAACTTTTCAGAGCTGAAGGATCATATCTAGCCACACTGCAGATATTCAAACCTGGAACAGGCTTGTCACAAAACTCTTCGTTCTCACAATTGACAGATGCTGGACGCAAATCCTCTCTTGATCTGATATCCGTAACCAGATTCTCTACTAGTTCTCTTTGCATAGAGATATCATCAAACTTGACATGTTGAGCCTTGAGCTCCAAAGAATCAGATAGATTTACACACTCACACTGATTTTCAGAGACAGGAGTCTCTTTGACTTGAGAAATAGCTGAATCAAGAGCACACTCATCAGAAGGAATACTCAGAGATAGTCCTACATCTTCATACACATCAGCCATCGTAAAATCATCCAAGTCTGAAAGAGAATCACCCTTGTCAGTTTCCTCAGCTGGGCTATCTAAGGAATCTTCTAGCCACTCCAACCGTGCTTTCTTTACCCAAAGGGCAGTTTCCAGTACCACTGCAGTTGGAAATACTTCTGAAGCCAGCCCACTCATCACAGTTTCATGTATAACCAATGCTTCAGATGCTGCAATGGAGAGTTCAACTGCATCAGTGATGTCAGCTGCTTTGAGATAATTGGCATTAAGTTTTCCCCCAAAATGGCTTGCTGATATCTTTGTATTGGAGGGACCTTGTGGAACAATATCTTCTACTGGTTTTTGAATGGACTTTAGAGGTAGAGAATTTATCCCACCAACATTCAGGTAGATTTCCGAACAGTTCTTCACTTTGGAACCCACTGAGGTGTCATTTAGTTGTGCAGGCACAACTTTATTGAATTCAAGATGATTTAGAGAAGTATCCAAAGGTTGAGTTGGGCTACATTGTGAAGATCCATTTGAAGAAAGATGAAGATGGAAATGAAGCACCTATACAAGAAAATAGATATATGTATATGTATTAGTGTGTTATGATAGGAATCATGGAGGCCTACATACCGATTTTAGGCATAGACACAAAAATAATAATTTGGCAAGTTTATTTATTTTCTATTGTTTTTAGTAGCCTTTAATAGCTTTTATTATTTCCTTGTCATTGTGGGTTTCATTTTAGATTGTCATACAATCATAGTTTTGAACATTCAATTGAGAATGGATAATTAAAATTAAATAAAGTTAGGTTTTTGTTATTCTATATTATGCACTCTCTCTCTTTTTATATTTAAGTATGCACTTAAACTGAAGTGAAAATACATTAAATCTGGGTAGATACTATAAAGTAAAACTGTCTACATTTAACCCCCTTCAACGTTAAGTCTTGTGTCATTCAAATGCGGATGTAGGTTAAAACATCTAACCACACAAAATATTAGTGTCTTGATGTTTATTTTGTTTCTGATATTGCTTACCTACATTAATTTCATATGGATGAAAACTCCGATACAGAGACCACTAATTGTCATTTGGCCTTGTATTAGGCAATTTCATTCACAAATATTGGAAGCAGAGCTTGATTCATTTATCACAGTGTTTCATCTTGTGTCTACTAAGATGGAAGATTCAGCAACAGGATCAACAACAATATATTAATGTACAAGTTTTAAATCAAAATACATATATATATTGAACATGAAAAACTTAAAATCATGTTTTGGCAAGCATCCTTAAGAGCTTACATTTCCAGGAGATGAAGCAAAACCAGCTGCAGAATTGTCTTCCCCAGATAAGAACAAATGATAACGGTTGCATCTGCCTTCCTCACTCGACAATGTATTAGCATCTTTCCCTTCATTGGTGTTTCCTTGGAAAAAATTCATATCCTACCCAATGCAATAAAGAAGACACATGAGTAAATAACTTGACCCATTAAATCCATTCCTCTTGGCTTTAGAAGAAGCAGTAAAAGTTATAATGTGGTTGGTATAGGTCTAGTTCCAACCTTGGAGCCTAGCTCTAAGTTTGTACTCTTAAGCTCGTTCATGCACTCCTCCCATTGTTCTTTCTGATGCTGCTGAAGCCAACCAGGAAGCCAAGCTAAATCCTGTAATTAGCAGAAAATTAAATAACACCATTGACTAACATAGTAATCGGGGAAGAATATATAACTCATTAATATTATGATTATACAAATAACATTTAACATTTCTGTTATGCAATTTAGAATTTGTCATTTAACATTTTGTATATAAAAGAAACTTCACTAGACATTGCCACCTCAGGCCAACATGTCCCTTTTCAAATATAGAGCAAGGGCAAGTCTTAGTGGCATGGATTAACTTGTAAACGAAACCACACACTCAGGTGATCAAACGAATCTCCGTTTTTAGTCTTCAGTTGTAATATACTTCTACTAACATCTTCATGTACATAACGAAAGAAAAAACATCCAAAGAATGGCTTTAAGTACAAAATATACACTCACAACAGCTTAAACAACATACAAAGCGGATACCCTTTTCACCTCATAAACCACAAACACAAGAAAACACTATAAGACCACTCATACATCAAATAATGAAGTAAAAGTTATGCACATTCTGGGTTCTGACCTTGTACAACAAATTTCGTATCGATTAAGCCAAATACTTATCTCATTCGTTCTACAATAAAGCATCAAACTTTACCCAAGTCATTTGATTACGGGAAACCCAAGGAAGAGAAACGAATCAGGTTATAAATATCAGATTTTCTATTACATAGCATTCGAAATCCCTAATCGCTCCACACAAGCAAGCAACCCTAAATCAACTAACCGACTTTGAATTTCCCCTTTCCCACTCTACCTCTTTCAAAAATAATCTAGAAAACAATAAAAAGAACTAGTTCACAAATTTCTTCAAATTTCTCGAAAACCCAACAAATTGCGAAGGCTATAATATTAGCAAAAAGGTAAATAGGATGGAAGAGAGGTTGAATGAGGGCACCTCGGAGAACTGAGGAGGACGAAACCCTAAGGTTTCGATGGGATGAGACATAATAGTTGATCTGCCTTGTGCCTTGTGTTCCCGCGCCCGCGCTACCCCTTGACCAGTCTCTTTTGTAAGGGGAGGATCCTTGGCGCCAAGACGACGCTGCTTTGGAGGTTTGGAGTATTGAATTCAATTTTTTTTTAAAAGGGAAAAATGTAACTTTTTGGTCC